TTGAAGGAAAGTTGGAATTAGGTCTTATGTTTTATTTCATTTGCCATTTCTGTTGCCTTTCTTTTCATGTAGTTAATGGTTTGGTCGGTCATTGTCATTTTTGTGAGTGTTAACCGGGAGAGCCGTATTTTACACTCATAGTGGACAGTATATATGTGACAGACATGTAACGTTCAAACCGTGCTGATCGAGTAACCCTGATCTAGACATATTGAGAAACGGGCATTTATTGAAAACTACTTTCTATGAATGTACAATGAAATTATATAATGTAACGTAAAATGTACATTATTTCCTTTAATGACTCCTGGCTGCATGTTATTTCGACATGTTTCATTGTGTCTTTTCAGGTGAAGACAAGTGCAACGAAAAGATGGCCGGAATTCCGTCGTTTATCATCCAGGAAGAGTTCGATCGATACTGCGGGTATTGGTGGAGTCCAGTTAATTGTGTGACGACGTAATGGCTCAGCGCGTTTTCTCATATCATCGTTTTCTAGATCATGGTTGCCTTTTCGTTCTGTATGAAGAAACGGATGTCACGTTCACGTCCAAGTTCAACTTCAGCGAGTCTGCTAACGGCTTCGAACTGTCTGACACCGTCACCTATCCTTATGCAGGTGTGGAAACGAATTTTTATTCTATGCGGATATCATCTTTGAGTACTTGTCATGTTCTTGAACCATGGCAAGGTTTTCTTTCTGAGTTACGTGGTTTAATGTACCGTAGGTGTTTGCTTGACGGATATGAAGGAACTGCTTCATGCTATTTCAGTTTGTTTATGCTTCCTCTTTTGAACCTGACTTTAGTGAGCGTTGAATTACACATAATACGTTGCGGTATTCCAGCATTTCTCTATATATAAAGAACTGGCATTTTTATGTCATCGATGGAAGATGTACTACTCACCGAATTTTATATCACAAATGACAAGCAAAATATTTTGTTGTTAGCAACAGTTAAGTAACTTTTAAATTGAAAAAAACGTTTTATAATTATCAGCGAGGCTGTCAGCTAGAATATGGGCCACACAGGACTTGTTTCCGGTTCAAGTAATGTGATGTTGTGAAGTAAGTTTGAGCTAATTTTCTTCAGTAGATCATTTATCGTCACATTTCTCTGTCGGGAACATTTTCTATGAACTGTTATGCACGTAAGTTCGTCGTTCTAAGATATCCTAGCAAATTCATCTTAGCAGCTCTTTTAAAAGGAGGGGGCCGATTGTCTACCCGGAGAAAGTTTTTGGA